AAACTCACATTTACTTACAGTAAAGTGGCAGTGTTTTCACAGAAAATGTAACATCATTGGGATTGGTCCAGATGTCCATTGAGTTAATCTAACACTATTACTGGAAAAAGAAGATTCCATTGAGTTATCATAACCGAAATTTTGTCTACGAATTTGAAGGAGAGATAATTTGTTTTTACTACCAATATCTTCCAAATATATATTTGGCTTTTGTGGAAGACTATCTGGTATAGGACAGCTATTAAACTTCTAAATTTGTCACATTGTGTGCTGAAAATGATGGATTTAAGCTTAAGATTTACCATTACTCTTTTAACTCTATGATTTGAAATGGTAGCAGCATATTCCATTTCTTCCCCAATAATATGTATACTAATCAGTTGCAGAATGGGCTGTAGGTCCTTGTTCGCATTCGCACATACGCGCATTATGATCATCACATCTGCATTCAGCACTTTGCGGCCTCCAAACCGGGTGAATGCACGGTGCTGCTTATATTTTATAGTAAGTAATCATTTTTCTTCAAGTTTTTTAAGATGATAAAATAATAAATAAATGCAATTAAACATGATATCAGTTTATAGAAAATTTAGTATATGTTAATGAGGTGAATTTTAAATTTAATTTAACTTATATATTATAAATTAGTTTTATTTATAGTTAATTGATTTGAGATTTTTATGTTTGTTGGTAATTTCCCTTAAGTTCAAATATGATTTGCCTTAATTTTTTTCTTCAAGTTGTGTTTAGTGTGCTGTATTTTTATTGGGGTTTGGGTTTAATTTGATTCGTAACAAAATAAGAAAAAATCATGAGTCAAATAATAACAATAAAATTATATATTCTCAAATATGGTTTCACCATAAAAGACTTTTGCATATTTCTCATTTAATCTCATCAAATCTTTGTTCCTTTGTCCCAAAGAAATTGTTGAGTCCTTCAATTGTTTGTCAAATGTTAAAGCATTACCGTACATCTTACTCTCGTGATGATAAAAAGATTAATTTGCATTTTTATATAATTCATTATGATGTTTGAGTTCTTGTTTTAGCATCTATCTTTGGGACAAAATGATTTTGTTTTTTTATTGATAATCGTAATGAGATAATATGGGCATATATTACGAAAACTAAGTCTAGTATATTTCAAATCTTTGTCTCAGTCTTATAAAAATAGTTAATTAGAAATAAGTATCAAAAAGAGTTTTGATAATGAAATCAAACGCGAATTATGAATTCTACAAATTGTTATTATCCTTAATAGCATCGCCACTAGTAAAAAAACTTTAGAAACATTAATTTTATAGTGGGACACATTGATTGACGGTTAAAAAAAATGTTGGAAATGGCCATTTTGCTGACATTAATTGAGGTTGAAAATGTTTTAACGTGAAAATACTCACTTTTTTTTACCTTAATTGACCTAAAATGATATTTTTCGACATTCTTCCTCCTTTGTTTTTTTAATAAATAATAATGCATTTTTACAGTTTTATTAAATTTGAAAAGAAAAAACCAACAAATTTCATATTTTCATAAATCATTTTCAAATTTGTATGAAATATAAACTATAAACTAAAGTTATGACAAGTTAATGATGTTATAATAAGTGGTGTATATTGACTATTTATTTGTTATTTTTGGTTTTGATAGTTATAGTTATTATTTTTGGTTGAATTTTTTTTAGCACTCCTTGGAACCCCTAAGGGAAAAAGCTCTAGGAGCTCTTACTTTGATTTTTTTTTTAAGTTTAAAAATTATTTGGAAAGTCGGTTGTTGCGAATCTTTAATACTTTGTTCACTTGAATGAATTTATGAGACAATTATTAGTGGATTTGAAGGTAAACTTTTTGTTGTTTATTTGAGTGAATTTGGAGGTAAGTGAGAGTGGATTTGGAAGTAAAGAAGAAAAAATTTAACTTCAAATCCTCTCAAATTCAGTAAATCACTCTCCTCCAAATTATTTCAAGTGAACAAATCCTAAACGACTATAACTTTTACTCTCGTTTGTAGATTTAGCATTATTACGTATCAATTTGAGGTAGAAAAGATTTTTCAAGCCCGTGGTAGCTTGCGTAACTAGTTGTTCCTTCTACATTTTCAAAAATCGACAGTTTTCTATTTTTCGTCAATTTATTTTATGTTTTTCAAACTTTGCAAAAATATTTCACATAGACTTTGAATTTTGATTTAAAATTTTTTGTGGGGCTTTCATGATTTTTTGGTGCTTTCAAATTTTTTTTGGATCATTTGGAGTTCCTTTGAACGTACTCTGAGTTTTACTTTTACTCTAAGTTTGGATGTATACATGAACAACAAACAAGTTTAACAATATCAATTTGAACAATACCAACATGTTCAACTAATTTATAACCCATAAAGAATGAAAATGGAAGTTCATCAAAAACCTAAAATGAAACTAACCTTCTTGAAAGTGTGTTCGTAGCTGGAATAAAGTGTTGTTGCCAGTGAAAGAGAAAGAAAAACAACCTAGGCTCCAAAGAATACACGTGCATGAAACCAATCCGTTAAAACGAAAAAAAATCATACATAAAGTAATTAATCAAAATACATTTGTGTAAAATGAAAAAAGATTACATGTGTGTTGATTACCGAAAACTTCATCAAAAGGAGTTTAAACTCTTTTTTTTTTTCAGAAAAGGTTTCACGCAAAAAAGATAAAATTCTTCCATCTAAATTTTCAATAAATTCACTGGATAAGGTCTCAAAAGTGATATTCTAGTGTCTTGTAACTCTTTAACCTTTTGAAAATTTTTAATTTTCTTGATTTCTAATATTACGCACTAGTAACGTTGTAATATGTAACTTTGTAGGAATGTATTTCTTTCATAACTTTTACTTTAGTTTATAAAATGCTTTTTATGTTACTTTTAATTAAAAGATATTAACTTTTCTTTGTCCGTAGATCCGAACAGGATATTTGATCGTTTTAAACAATATACTTTAATAATAATATATTCAGAAAAAATATATAATATTTTATTAAAGTTCATAAACGAATAACCCGGACACCTTCAAACCAAATTTTATTTGGGTAGACAATGTCATAGCTGAATATGTAAGATCTAATTCTTCTCTATCTTAAAATTCTAGAAATTACAAGTCAAATTTGTAAGAAATGAAAACAAATTATTATTAATAAGAAAATGGAAAACGGATTCATCATAAAATATTTTAAATATGGAATAACTAAATCTCTAGAGTTTATGTGAGATGACTTTCAACGACTTATCAAACAATGTAGAAAAGGTTATCCTTTATGTACCCTTTTATATACATACGTTGCTCATGATCTAATTTTGCAGTTGAACTCACAAATATGAGTTCAGGAGTGTATTTTTGGGGGTTAAAGTATTAGTCACAAGTTTAATTTAAAAATAAAGGTTTTGGAACTAAAGTAATTTAATTAGTAAATTTATTAAATTTATATTAATGTTATTTGAAAGTGTTATTATCAAACTTTAAAATTTCAATCTTGTTTTCTTAACTGTAGTTGAAAAAGGTGGGAAAGATGGTAAGAAATGAAAAATAGATTTAGTGACTTTTTTTATTTTCAAGAAAAGTCACTATAACTTTAATTAATTTTTATATGTTGAATGACGAACTTCAATTTTTCAATATATATATATATATATATATATAATAAACCAGTTAAGAATTAAGTAATAAAATTAACTAAAATTTTGTTATTTTTCTGAAAAGAAATTACTGAATCCGTTCTTTACTTTTTTTTTTCAGAAAGAAATAACGTAACATATGAAAATGAACTAAAATTACAATTACTTTTCGTAGAAAAAAAAAGTCATTAAATATGTCTAATGAAAGATGATAAGAGATAGAGGAAAATAAAAGAAAAAAACAAAAATAAAATAAAAGTTTTGGGATAGGAAATAAATCATATTTTGACAAATGTTACTTTAAAATAATTATAGCATTGATTCAATTGAAGAAACCAAATTAACTTTATTTAACATATATTAAAACTTAATTAAATAAAAATAAATAAATTATAAGTCTAAATATAAAGAATACTGACCCATTACCATTTAAAGCATATACCACATTTACTATGGAAGCCTAATTAAATGAAAACAAAGTTTTTCACGTTGTTTTGCGTGTTTAATGTTATGTATGAAATACTTATGTTAAGATTGAATAGATATTTTCAACGACTTAAAAATTAAAATTTACCTATCTTTTACATTTTCTATATCATCATTTTTTTTATATTCTCTATTTTCTATTTTCTCCGCACATTAATCAATAACTATAACTACTGTACCCAAAATTATCCTTCATTCCATAGTTCCCGTTATGAAATATTAGTTTTAAGATTATGAAACACAGCTAAAGAAATATTCAATTTATGTAAATCTAGAATAAAATATTCTCAGTTTTTTAAAACTATTTCTGTTATAAATTATTCTACACATTTGTATATTTTTTAGCAGCTCACAATAATAAATAGTAGAAATAATTAAAAAAATAAAGAATACTAAAACTTTAGAAGGGAAGAATAATAATTAAAACATGACCAAATATGAATGTGTTATCCTAACTAGTCAATCAACAATTCTCATAACATATCTTACTTCAATAAAATATTTATTAGATATTAATTTAATTGTTTTAATCTTAAATTTCAAAGAAGAAAATAGAAATAGAAATAAACAATCTAAAGAATATGACACTTGAAAAAGAGTTTATTGGATAATACATTATTAATGAGTTAATTAATAATGTTTATCCATCTTTCATAAATTTCATATTCTTTCTTTGTCCTTCCTATCACAGTCTTCATTTTGGTCCTAAACCTAAGTTGGTTTCACAAATCCCTACGGGTCTGAGATCCAACGGTGTAGGTGGAGAGATCTGATGGCATGGAAGGGCATAAAAAAACAAAACCCACGTACTTCCATTAATCAGACTTTCCTCCCCGAAAAGTGTTGGAAATTGTAGGAGAAGGCCCAAAAGATGGGAATTCCTTTTAGCGTGGTCTGGTTGGGTTAGGTCTGTCTTCGAAATGAAACAAAGACGGAGGCTCTGAAATAAAGGCTTTCGAGAGAAAGAGAGAGAAGAAGAAGAAGAAAAATAAAAGAAGAGAGTAGTGTGTGTTTGTCTCTGTCTCTGTCTTCGTTCGAAACCATGAATCTCTTCTCTTCCCTATAACTCCTCTCAGATTCGATCCTCTCTTCTCTTCTCCCAATTTCCCCCCCTCCCCCAAAATGACGGGATTTTCTCGCTCGCGCGATCACGCTTCTTCCTCTTCGCACAATTCCAACAGCAGGTCCATTTTCTTTCCGTCGATTCCTTTTTCTAATGGAAATTCATTTTAATCTTACGCCTCTTAGCAATCTTTCTTTCAATTTCTCGCCGAATCCGCGACCGGAAGTCAGTATCGGATTGTTTCTTTTTCTGATTTTGCTGGAGTTTTCAATTACGCCTAATTCGGTTTTGTTCCTTTGGCCTGTTATTGTGGCGGCGTGTTCGTGTTGCTTTCTGATTAGGATAGTGAAATAATAGTGTTGTTATATGTTGGAGGCAGCTGGAATTGAGCTTTGTTCATGTGATTGATGTTCCCGAGGCTCGATTTCTGGGGCTGCTGCATGGTTTTTAGGTTGGATCCTGTTCTGCTGTAGAGTGGTTTTAGGTGTTGGTTAACATCAATTCGTGGCTGCTGGCTTGGAAACTGTCCAGAGTTGAGTTTTGTTTTGTTTGGTCTAGAGGTCTGTTTGAGTCGTGTGGAGTTAGCTAGGTTTTGGGATGAGATCGTGGTGTTGTGAGGTTATGATCAATATAGGCCATAGTGGTTGGGTTTTTGTTGATTATAGATGCCTGGTGGTGCAGTACTTGTTGGAGAGTTTGAGCATGATTTTAATGGATGATCATGGAGAATGGGAGTTTCTTGTCGAAATTTTGTAGTTTCTGACCTTGAATATTGGACATGTTTAGACTGTGCGTGAGCTTACCATGATGATCTACCATACTGCTATAAGCTGAGAATCCATACGTTTGTCAATACTTGGATTTTGAAGTTTGTGTTCGTCAACTGAGGCTGAATTACAGAAATGCACTTTCCTTCTTTTAAGTTGAATTTGAAGCTACATGTTTTACTGTAAAATATTTCTCTTACCTGATGTGTTGAATTTGGCCAGTGGTAGCAATGTATTCAATTTGCTCGCAAGGAGAGAAATCTCACCCCGAACCAAATATGTGGCCAAATGGCACTGGGTTGAAGCTTCTAAGTCAAAGTCTAGTCCTTATTCTCGTCCCAAGAATGAGGTTGTGAGAGATGCAAGACGAGGTCTCCTCTCATGGTATTTACACTACTTTAGTCCATAAGTTTTATCGGCAAAAAATAAGCCTCTTGAGAATGTGAAATTTTGTTTTCAAGAATAGTCTATTTTGGGGGCTAACTTCTCTGACAATGATTATCAGGGTTGAGGCTGAATCATTACGGCATTTGTCAGCTAAGTATTGTCCCTTATTGCCTCCTCCTCGGTCTACTATTGCAGCAGCATTTAGTTCCGATGGGAAGGTTCTTGCCTCTACACAGTAAGTTTTAACAGGCTGATCACCTCTTTGCTAGTTTTAGTTTAAGAACTTTTATGTTTGAATCTGATCTTGTTATGTGCCATGCACAGTGGTGACCATACAGTGAAGATAATTGATTGTGAAACTGGAAGTTGCTTAAAGGTGTTAGTTGGCCATAGGAGAACGCCTTGGGTGGTAAGTTTCAAATATGTCTGCTTGCCATTTGCCTTCATTTCCTGTGTTTTTGTTTAATCTTTCTTTTGTAGTATCTTTTGGTAATGATTGTGGTTTATGGAAGGAATCTTTTTTGCACGAAGTTTGATGAAATGTACTTTTCTCTGAAGTGACAATTTAATGAAATTGAGTTATTAAAATTCTCGTTGGTATTCAATTAGGTGATATCCCACCATTCAATTTATGTAGCTATTTATTTGTTACGAAAATATTTGTGTGCAACGAGTCTTTAGGTGTGGGTGGGTGGAAGGATGAACTGTTATTTGTACTTGAGTGGGTAAGTTCTAATTGAGAGACAAGGGAACTTGCATCCGGGGAAGAAAATTCTGTCGTATCAACATTGTGCAAAACAGGGCATGTAGGATACTACTACATAAAGAAAATATTTTTTATTGTTCAATTATTTGAACATAAAATACTTGACACCGTAGACAACAATGTATATAATTGTCTTTATTTCTCAAATACTTTATCCTTTTCATAAACACACGTCTCAAAAACTCCTCCTAAAGTCAATGGGTACAGCGGAAGTTGTACATGTACCGTTTATTCCCTTTTTACCATTTACCACTTTGGTTTGTGCCACAAAATCCTTCCTTTCCTTCTGAATCCATTCACCAAGACCCATGACCATTGCTTGAAGCTTAATAATATGTGAACTTTTGCCACACAGAGTTGGTTGAAAATATCATTAACTGTTGTCAGGGTTTTAACAATTTCTATAATCAATTATGTGTATCTCATTTCCAATTTTGCAAGTTTTAATTAGAAAAAGGAATACGAGACTGGTGATTCCACTCCAGTTTATTTGCCAATAAATGGTGCATGTGTCATTTCCAATACATTAGGCCCTTTTGTCTAAAATTGTACCTTGTGTAACCCAACCAGGTGTAACTATTGTAATCCTCCCTCTCTCCTATTTGAAATATTCTTGTGTTTCATGATGCACTCCCCGCCCCCAATTGTTTTTAACTATGTGCTAATCATACCCAAAATTTGAACTTTGTGTTAATGGTACAGGTTAGGTTCCATCCATTGCATCCACATATACTTGCGAGTGGGAGCTTGGATCAAGAAGTTCGTTTATGGGATGCCAACACATCAGAGTGCATAATATCTCATCATTTCTGTATGTTTACTCATTGAGAATCTCTCTTACCTTTCTAAATTATTCTTTAACTGTTACTAAATATGTTCTTTGTTCCTTTCTTTTGTATATTGGTTTCTCTCATGAATTCAGTGGATTTTTTTTCTCACAGACCGCCCCATTGCATCTATTGCTTTTCATGCCAAAGGTGAAATAATTGCTGTTGCATCTGGCCACAAGGTACTACTTTTTCTCCCATGTTTTTATATCTTAGATGAACTGTTGTGTTTTGATCTCACATTTTGGAGTCTGTTTTTTTATACCGCATTGTGAAATACTCTCAGTTGTACATATGGCACCACAACAAAAAAGGTGAAGCATCCTCTCCTATATTTGTGTTGAAGACAAAGCGCTCACTTCGGGCTGTGCATTTTCACCCACATGCCGCACCATATCTTTTAACTGCCGAGGTGAACGATTTTGGTTGTGTATGTCCATGCTATTCAGAATGCTACTTTTTGGATTTTCCTTTTGGTTAACATACTTTGAATTGATGCGCAGGTCAATGATCTTGACTCTTCAGATTCCTCAATGACAGAGGCAACATCTCTTGGCTATTTACAATATCCTCCACCTGCTGTTTTTGTCACAAATATTCAGCCTACAGAACATATTAGTTTGTCCACCGAACTACCTTATGTGTCATTCCCTTTCTTTTTTATGCCCTCATATACTCTTGACGAGTCAAGAACAGAACTACAACATTCTAGTCATGATGTGGGCTCAGGTAGCATGCAAATTGAGTCTTCTGCCATGGTACAGTTACAAGCAGATACAAGTGCAACAGAGCAACATGAGGCCACTGTGTCTCCCATGGATACATTCTCTGAGATGCCCACTAGTTCTCAAACTGCTACAGAATATCCCACCCATACTTCTTTCTCTAATGGAATGGGAATTGGCCTCAGTAATCTCACAATGGATGGTATGGAGACGGATGAAACCAGACCTGCTGAAGGAAGCCAACATGGAAACTCTACTAATACCTATTCTTTTAATGGTGTGCTACATGGACTGTCTAGGCAAACTGCCAACCGTGGGGTTCCCTCTGAGTTGGGTCAATTTAACCAGTTTTTTCCTTCTAGTTCAAGAGATCCAAGTGCATGGGAGTTGCCTTTTCTGCAAGGATGGTTAATGGGTCAAAGCCAAGTTGGTGTTCCTTCAATGCTTCCTCACATGGGTGCTAGCCGTGACATTCTAGCCCAACAGATTGGTTCTTCCATAATGCCATCTAATCTTTCCAGTTCTAATAATGATGCAGCAATGCCATCTTCAGCAATAACTGGCAGCATCAGCATACCAGGTTCTTCAACGAGATCAGGTTTACGGAATCATTTTTCACAATCCCGTCAACCTGTATCTGAATCAGGCAATCTTGCTACTTCTATTAATAATTCACACGATGGATCCGATATCCAAACAATCATGAGTCGAATTCAATCAGAACTTGCCGCTACATCAGTGGCTGCTGCAGCAGCGGCAGAGTTGCCCTGCACTGTGAAGTTAAGAGTGTGGTCACATGACATAAAAAATCCTTGTGTCCCACTTAATGCCGACAGATGTCGTCTGAACATACCACATGCTGTCCTCTGCAGGTACCTTGTGATGTTATTATATCTCCTTGTTGAAATAGGGTAATTCTTTCGTGTCAAATTGTTATTTTAGAAAATTTAGTTTGTGTGCATAATGTGAGTTGATAACTTCTTTTTTCATTTTTCGTGGTGAATGATGATGAACCCACTATCTGTCCCTTAATAGTAATGGTGTTATACTTAATTTAGTCATAACTATGTTCATTTGGCATTCTTACCTCAGAGATTGATTGCAAACTGTATCCTATATTTAACTGTGCTTATATTTTTATTTTCAACTCACAAAGTTGTATATTTTCCTTTTTGCAGTGAAATGGGTGCTCATTTTTCACCATGTGGTAGATTTTTGGCCGCCTGTGTTGCATGTATGCTTCCTCATATAGAGGCTGATCCAGGCTTAATAACTCCAGTACACCAAGAGCCGGGTGTTGCAACATCACCAACCCGACATCCAATCTCAGCACACCAAGTTATGTATGAGTTGCGAATATATTCCCTTGAGGAGGCAACGTAAGGCTTGTTTACTTCATCTATTGCTTCCAATTGAAATCATTCACATACTCAGTTAGTTTTTTTGTTTATTTATGTTGAACAGATTTGGGTTGGTGCTTGCATCACGGGCAATTAGAGCAGCTCATTGTCTGACATCAATTCAGGTTCATTACTTTATCTTTATGTTAGTCTGTGTGCCCTACGTTTTATGCAACTAACACATACGCACAATTTGGTCCCTGAACAACTTGTATTGCTTTGGTCTCTCAGTTTTCATATATTGAAATTAGTCCGTTGAGGATTTGTTTTTCTTCCAAATTGACTATTGGTAGGGCAATCTTGTTGACAACTTGACACTTTTTTGGACCAACCTTTATTAACTCTGAACAGAGTGCTTTCCCATTCATAATTTTCTTTGTTGGAATTGTGAGGTTTAGGTGTAAAGGGAGGAAGATATAAAGAAGAGAATGAAGCACAAGTTGAAATTAATTGTGATATATTTACAACGTATTGATGTGTTCATCAAACCTAGAGCTTTAACCCTTATTTTCTCTAATCATATTCCTAACAAATAAAGAACTAGGAAACAAATAATGATATCAGAAAATATGGTAATCAGTCTATGAGATGATGAAAATCCGATCCTGAAGGATATTCTAAGATGTGATCAATATTTTCTTATTACACTATCTTTCCTTTTCTGCATACAATTGTACCACTATTTTGATATTCGTGTTTTATAAATTGTTTCTTCTCTCTCCACGCGCTGCCTTATTAGAGATATATGCCCCCTTTTAGTGATACATGTTTTTAAATTTATTCTTATAATAACTTTTGTGCAATTGCTGTTTGGTGTGTAGTTCTCTCCTACATCTGAGCACATACTACTTGCCTATGGTCGACGTCATGGTTCTCTTCTTAAAAGTATTGTTATTGATGGAGAAACAACATTACCTATATACACAGTGCTAGAGGTAAAAAGCTCTCAATTAAAATTTTTCCAATGTGAATTCTCTCACATGTACAAGCCCTTTGTAATCTGTATAATCTTTAGTATGAATTGCATTTGCTGGTTTTGGATCATGACATCTACCTGCCTAAACTGTTATATAGACAACTGTTCAACTAGTTATGCTTAATCTATGGGCTGACTCTAATTGTTGTCATTCATATTGTCTGTTCTCTTATTGTTTTGAAATGGTTTTGGTCTGAATTTCATGTCTATGAATTTGCTTTATTTTTCAGGTATATAGGGTGTCAGATATGGAACTTGTTAGGGTGCTTCCTAGTGCAGAAGACGAGGTCAATGTGGCATGCTTTCATCCTTTTGCTGGGGGAGGACTAGTTTATGGAACAAAGGTATGGTTTTGCTGGGGTGACCAATGATGTATGCTTTAGCTTATATTAGTTAAGTGGTAATCTTTTGCCTGTGGTTGTAGGAAGGAAAGCTTAGGGTCCTCCAGTATGACGGTGCTCATGCAGTGAATGGCAACGGACCAAGTTACTTTCCTGAGGAGACCATTATTGGAGTCAGTCAGTGAGCAAGGTTATATAATGATTCTTTTAGGATTTATAGTTTATTTGACAACTAGGAAGTTACGCGTGGTTTGATTTTTGTCTATGTTTTGATGAGTAAAATAGTCAATGTCAGAGGAGGATTAAGGCTAGACTTACAATCACTTAATCTCTGATGTGATGATCACGCCAAAGCGACATCATGTTTTTTTGGTGGGATGATGCAGCATGACAGTTTTATTTTTACTTTAAAGAATATAAGCCAAATTGATTTTTAAAATATGTTTTACTTAAGTAGTTGTCAAAGTTTGAGTCTCTCGCTTGTGCTTTTGGATCAGCATTTGCCAATAACTACAAGCCAATCCTTTTTCTGAAACCATACGATATTTGGTAAGGTTGTTAGTGGTTAAAAGAGTACATATTGGATTTTGCGTGATTCATTGCCTTCATATGAAAAGCGTGTTGCCTATGAATATTGGAGGATTGACCCACGTTAAGTGTAAAAAGGTGACGGATCTGTGATGAGTGGTGGTCTCTTTGAAGTAGAGTGAACTTGGTTGGAGTAAATGTCAGAATGGTTTCCGAAGAGTTGAATGAAAATTTGTTTGATTGTTTCAAAGAATAATCATTTTGACTTTTTTGAGTATTCGCTTGTAGGAATTACATCCCCTTATTCAACTCTTCGGAAGAGTGAATTAAGGAACATGCTAGCTTTTGTTTTTACAATGGCATTCCTTTACGTTAATATGCATTTGGATCATAATTATTGACGTTTAGTTTATTTATCCTTACAAATTTACTGCCTGTTTTAGGTTTACATAAATGATTGGACATGGAACTCAAAGATTTGATTCACATTACAGTGCAACTCACATGGTAAGCCTTCTACGCCAGCCCCAGTCCTTTGGTTGCGTTTGTGGTTATGTAAAATATATAAACCCATACAGGATAAGCTTTTTTATGCAAGTAGTGGATACGAAATATTTTTTGTTTCAGGATAATTATAGGGAGAGGTGGACCTCTCAAGGAGTTGAGCTTTCTCACCATAAGATGTACTATATATTCAGAGTAGAGATTCTCTCACCTTGATTTTTAATCAACAACTCAACCAGTGAAGTTATTGAAAAAACAATTCAACCATTTAAAGCTCAACTCTTGGGAGGTACATACTCTGATAGAAATTATCCTTCTTTTCACGTGCATGAGGTTTTATAATGTATTTCTTATCCCCATGCAGCTCTGTGCTGATGATCTGCCCAAACATAACCTTATCCAGTGCTGAGCCCATCCAACCGATGGTGGAACTTCACTCACTGCAGTACCAAATGTATATTTTTGTATTATCCATGTATGAGTATGTACTAACATTTTCCTTTGTTAACATGTTTGTATTTCTTATTTTCCTCTCCAACCCCCTCCCTCCTTCAACCCATAAGTGGGAATCTCCGTTTCTACCTGTGTAACGTTAGTAGTGAAAGAAAATGTTTGTTTTTTTTTTCTTTTTCTTTTTCCTTCTTCGTCTCCGGGAAATTCTCTAGCAACACGACATGCCACTAAATTACACCATGCGGACGCCAAACATTTAATATATCCATGTTATGTAGGTCCTGTCCTACGAGTATGGATCCTAGATATTTTTACATTTAAGCTTTGGGTAGATACACACTGTCAATGTTAACAAGCTCATTTTAAGTTTTTTCTTATGGAATTTGTTGAAACCTCTGTATGTAGACAAAAATAACATACTATCGAGGTCATAGGTAATTTTGCTATTCTAGGTATACTAATTCCAAATGTCGCTGAATGCATATACTAATCTCTAAGCATATTCACTGTGTAATATAAATCTGTTTATTTTAAAGAAATAATTTCTTTTTTTAGATGTTCGAGAGAAATCGATTGTTCTTGAAACTTCCTGTTTTCGAAGGAGTTTCAATTGCTGAATGTACGTTCCATTATTGAATTTGATAAATATTGAGTTGCATTCTCCATCACCATCTCATGCTTCCTCCACCTTTTCATTTCTGTTTTATTTCTCTCTTTACTTTTCTATTTCTGTTTTACCCTTCAGTACAATTTTATTTTTAGAGTTAATATTTTTTAATTTCTACTCACTCCAATCTCCTATATGAATGCGATGGTTTGGTTTATGCTTAATCAATAAGCATTTGTTATTGACAGTTATGCTGTTTCTTTCTCTCTTCAATCTTATCACCCAAATAACACAACCATTTTAATGGTGGGCCTATGTTTCTATGTTTCATTTTCTTCTCTCTTTCTTTTATGCTTCTTTCCATTGTTGTATCTTTTGAATTTTCTGATTGTTTATCTTACTCACACCAACGTACGAAGAGTTAAGCAATCTCATAAAAAAAAGTTGATACATGGAGAAAAAATGTCACAAATAGTTAATTTTATAAAAAAGTAGAAACATTTTATATAATCATTTAAATAAAAAAAATTAAAATATTGAAAATTTAAAACTTTAAGAGAGGAATTTGATCATTTAAATTTATAAAATTTTAAATTATAATTAAATAGTAAAACTTTTGAATTCTTTTTAATTATTTCATGTATACATTTTCCATTTTTTTTTATTTTGTTATCGTTTTGAAATTGAGGTACAAATACTTTAACATATTTTACTAATAATAATCAATATTTCTCTCGTGTTAACAATTGATTGTGGTTAATTTTCAGATTTATTTTGCAATCATTATTTTTTACCAACATTAATAATATATGTTTCCATGGATGTCATTTATAATTTTTTTATCAATGTCAATAAAATTATTTTTTTATGATGTTAGTCATAAAATATTCATTATTGTTAGTCATAAAATATTCATTATCGTTTGGATTTGGATTTGCTGCACTGCAAAATGACTACCGCAAACACCTCGCATTACCGCACCATGAAAAGTCACACCACTGCATGACGAAACCAAACAGATATGGAGACAAGAATATGAAGAATAACCAAATTGATATGGAGAAGAGAAGTAAGAGTTGGGAGATGAGAAGAAACAGATTCGGTGAGAGTTTGAGGGGATGAGAATATGAAAAAAATAAAGTCAGACTTGGAAGAATGAGAAGGTGGGACTGCGCGAGTGAAAATGGGTGAGTAAAAATAAGTAGGAATTTAAGGTTTCATAATAAAGTAAATAAATAGATTAAAAAATAAAAAAAATACTACTTTTGTAATTAAAAAAATTTTGGAGAGGGTTGAGGAGGTGGAGAGAGAAGAGGTTTTGGTGGAAGGAATGAGCGGATAGAGATACATGTCATGGTGTGGTAATTGTGGGGCACGGCAGAAGTTGTCGTTGGTCTTCCCTCCTAAATGAGAAAAGTTTGAATTGGCTTTTGCCTCTTTAATGTGGTCGTTTCTTTTATTTTATATTTCATTTTCTTTGAGTTGTAACATCTTTTCAAATTTCAACTCGTATCAATTATAAATTTGGTCCCTGCTTTGGGGAGTACAACAAGATAGAACGTCTAAATGAATAAGAATCCAAATAGATGGTTGCTAAACTGCTGAAGCAAAAGATACTCTCCCTTTAAAAAAATAAGAAAGAATTGAAGGAAAAGGATGAACACGATAAATTCCAAAGAAGAAAAGAATGTAGCCATTATAAAGGGCCATGTGCAAGTCTTTTTCCCTAAATACAATATCTTAAAACCCTGTACTTATCCTCATGTCGTGGACTCCTCCTATATTCCACTTCATAGGAAGGAAATTATCTTAGAAATATTATTTTCAAACTAGAGAAGTTAAAAACGAGGCATCAATAATGATAAATATTTATTTAAAAACATTTAATTAAACAATTAACATTATTAGATTTGAAAACTTTTTATTTTTATTCCTTAGTTTAGTTAAAATATTTCATGTAATTATTCTATATGATATATTATTTAAAAATTTAAAGGGAAAAAAATGTTAACGAAGATAAGTTTAACAAAACTTATATATTCTTCACGTGCAACTTAAATGGACCCTTAATATATCTTACTAATATTTTTTAATAAAAAATAAAATCACAACACAAAGGCAATAACTTGATGTGATTAAAACGACGAATGGTTAAAGCATGGAAAATGGAGGAATAAGAAGAAGGAAGTGAAATGAAATGAAGAGAAAAAGAAAAGGAAGAAGAAAGTGGAATCGGTCGTAGTCATGAGATGAGAAAGTATGACAGAGCAGAACACATCGATTCACGTGTCCAAATCATTTCCATTGTTTCTTTTCTTTAGCAAAATCAACATTCATTATTCAATTAAAATTCCATCCAAAATCGTTGACCAGTCAAAGGAACAATAAAAGCTGTCTTTTATATTTTTACACGTAGATACAGGACTTCATGCATTGACCGATATGTTTTCTCCTTCTTTGACTAAAATAATTATCATTCATTTCAATCTCTCTCTCTCTCTTTCTGTCAGCCATAGCATCTCAATTCGATTCCCCCCAAGTTCAAACAACAGCAATCAGACAACCATTTTTTATCTCTTTTTTTTCTTCTTTTCAATGAATAATAGCAAGTTGATGAATCATACAAGCTAAAATTAACCTAATTAATCATAATAATTTGTCGAAATGAGTACTTAACAAGATGATGATGTAACAGAAGAATTTGATTCAAATTTATAGTACTTATCCACTGCAAGAGACACATCCCAAGTGCAACTGAGTCCCTTTGGAATGGTCACAAGGTCTCCAGCTCCAAACTCCACAAACTCTGATGATCCTTTTAGGTAAGCCTTCACCTTCCCTTTGACCAAGTAGCATGTCTCTTCTGCATCAAATTTCAACTGGTACTTCCCTGGAGAACAACCCCACCTTTCATTACAGTTTTCACAGTGTCAGTGCATTCCATCATTCTATTTTTTCACAAGCCAAAAACACACTATATCAAATACTATTTTTCTGTCAAATTTAAACATCATAAACACAACAATTGTTTTACACTGAAACTCAATTCTTGTTAAAGAATATAACAGTCAAAGCCACGCAATCTACATATACAAGTTCATTATTCCTTTTCACAATACATAGCAAAAGAGAATCAGAGAAGGAAGGGCATGTACTTGGGCCAGCACTTGATGTTCAACTCAGCTAGGCGTGACTGTGGAGGATTTCTTTCAATGGTGATTCCGAAGTTTGAGTTGGAATCTGCAGCCATGGATGATAATTGAATTTTTGAAGTTGTTTCATGCACTCTTGTGTGGCTTTGGAGAGAATGAGAATGAAAAAGAAGTGAACATGAGCAGTGTTTTATAACAGGATAATAAGAAGACTTTATATTTATATAAGACTTTCTCACACAAAATAATTATCAAGATTTATGGTTGGTACTTGCAATTTTAAAAAGTACTATTCACCTATCACATCGCGCCACGTAAATTCATAATATACAGCTTTTCAAATGTAAACCTCGTGTGATATTTGTGTCTATGTGCTATCAATCACATTCTATTATTATTATTATTTATTTATTAATTGGTATAAGGTTTTTAGAATGATTTAATAGTCTTTTTTGTCCTAAGTTGTGTTCGGTTGTGTCAATTTGGTCTTTGGTTTTAAAAATGTGTCTACTTGATTCTAACTTAGTAAATTTTGTGTCAATTTTATCCCTTTCGTTAAAATACACTAACGGTGTTAATGAATTGATGATATGGCAGTATAAATTGGTAACATGTTAATTTTAAGTTATCTGAGTGATGACGTGGTAAGAATGAGAGGTTGAGGTGGATTTTACAAATTGGGTTTTAGAATTTGGGAAAAAATATGAGAAAACCGACGCGTTCCTCGACCCTGCTTCCACTGACAAGGCTGAGTTCCAGATCGTGCTTACCATCATCAAAGATGGGTTGAAGACCGACCCCACCAAGTACCGCAAGATGAAGGAGCATATTGTTGGGGTTTCTGAATAGACTACCACTGGTGTGAAGAGGTTGTATCATATGCAAGCCAGTGGGACTCTTTTGTTCCCTGCTATTAATGTTAATGACTCTGTCACCAAGAGCAAGGTATTGTTTTTTTTTTTTGCTTTTTTTTTCCAGATCTGTTACTTTTCTAGTGTTTAGACGTTGAGCTTGATTTAGATTTGACTGTTTTAATGGATTTGTGGCATGGTGGCGTGTTGCGAGGTCATGGTGGCGCTAGGAAAAGCTTACGGGTCTCGCAATGGTGGCGGTGCGAATTGGGATGGTGTGAGGGTTGTCCGATCTGCGCGAATTGGGAGTTCGAAAATTGGGAATTTTTCTGGGTCTTAATTGCGAGGAAGAAGATGATGTTGTTGTTGGTGATTTGGGTTGCACTAGATTGATGATGGAGGGTAGGTTTGAACCTGGTTGTGTGATTTCTGGCAAGGTGGTGACGACGCGGCATGGTGGTGATGTCGCGACATGGTGGTGACGACGCGACATGGTGGTGACGACGCGGAATGGTTCATGGTGGTGGATGGGTTTCTCAGTGTGGGTGGTTGTGGCATTGATGGTGAAAGATGATGTGGTGGTTGCAGGTTCTTTGCGGCATTGATGGTGTGGGTGGTGGCGGCACAATTGGATAGGGTTTGGACTTCATTGTTTGTCGCGCGGCAAGGTGGTTGTGGCGGATAGGGTTTGGCTGACGGTGGAGGAATTAGGGTTTTTGCTGAATGCTGACAAGGCAGGACGGAATAGGTGGCCCAAAGATTAAAAAAAAAATTGAAAAGAAACTGTTATATCATCATACTATTGACTCCGTTTGTTTCTTTTTAACGGAAGGGACAACGTTGACACAAAATTTACTAAGTCAGGACCAAGTAGACACTTTTTCAAAACCAAGGACCAAATTGACACAAACGAGAAGGGACAAAAGAGAATATTAAACCTTTTAGAATTAACCATTAGAAACATTCAATTTATTTTGTTTTTGTAACTATAAAAAATTGTTTCAACCCAGCACATAGAATTTTTGTCCAATTTATTCAGACTAGGCTAACACGTTTGACACGTGGCAAGTGAATTGTTACCATTAAAATTACTAGGGTTAAATATGTTTTTAGTCCCTAAACTATTGGCCGTTTCTGGTTTTCGTCCCTCTTTCAAAATAAGGTACAATTTGGTCCTCATTCTTTTCGAAACTTTGGTTTTAGTCCTCGAAAACTAACACCGTTAAAAATGTGCTGACGTGGCTAATAGTAGACTGACATACGATTTTTTCTTCAAGTGTTTCTCGCTTTTTCTCCCCTTCTCTCTCTTCCTTCCATCTTCCACCCAACTTCATCCCTGGTTACATCTTTTTGAGTCTGCATATCAATGCTTTACTGCATCATTGGCATTGCAGTAAAAGGCTGTTTAAGTACTTGTCATAAAATGGAGCTCTTCACAATAAGTATATTCTGAATTACACAATATTAGTTTTGTGGAAAAAAATAGAAGGGCTGATTATATTCTTTGTATACAGACAGGAGTTGTCTATGCAGTTGAATTTTCTCATAGAAGTGGACGTGATTTGGTCAATATGGCAAAGAAGCGTACTAATGTTATACCCATTATTGAAGATACCAGACATCCCGCTAAGTACAGGATGTTAGTTGGTATGGTTGATGTCATATTTTCTGATGTTGCCCAGCCTGATCAGGTGTGGTTTAAATAGCTTAATCATTCTTGAGAATGTCTTCTGCCTCACCTTACTAGTTTTGCAAAACTGTGATTTACTTCAATCCTTGTGTCATGTGATTTGTTTATTGCTTTCAATTCATTCACTCTTTTGTTTGGTTGGCAAACACTAGCTTTGCGTGTTTATATTTTTCTTGTTTCTACACCTTTACATTTTGTTATCTTACTATTTTCTTCCTGTATTAAAATTTTATTTGAATAGTCTTTCCAATTGGAACAAGTGCTTCTGACAAGTTACTCGGATTCCCCTTCAAGACATCTTTGTTGATGCAGAACCGGGTTTCTGATGCACATTGATTTCAGTGTTTTAATATTGTTGTATAAAAAACTTTGTTTTTTTTTAATATTGGCTGTCTCATTGGTTTTAATTTTATTATGCTTGTTTGTGTACCGGTTTTGAATATTGACTGTCTCATTGGCTGTCTCGAAAAGATGTAACCAGGGATGAAGTTGGGTGGAAGATGGAAGGAAGAGAGAGAAGGGGAGAAAAAGCGAGAAACACTTGAAAAAAAATCGTGTGTCAGTCTACCGTTAGCCACGTCAGCACATTTTTAGCGGTGTTAGTTTTCGAGGACTAAAACCAAAGTTTCGAAAAGAATGAGGACCAAATTGTACCTATGAAAGAGGGACGAAAACCAGAAACTGACCAATAATTTAGGGACTAAAAACATATTTAACCCAAATTACTAATGTGATGATACGTTACCATTATTATAACAATAAATAGAGATTAAATCTAAGAACGAATAGTTACTTAGCTAAACATAATTAATTGACGTAATATACATATTAATTTAGGGGAGTTTCTAATTACTTCACTGCCTTAAAGAAAAAACAGTAATACTCTAATTTTCTCAGTACTGAATATGCTAACTTACTATGTTTTAATTATTTTAATTTTCTATCGAGATAAATCCACACGCATTAATATAAAATCAAGTTTTCAAATCAGCAATTAATTTGAATTGGAAATACCTTTTTTCGAAAAAATATCCTCAAAATTTAAAGTGGTGTAGTTTTTCAAATTTTTACGTTAAAAAACTACATACTATCCTTTTCAGGATAAAGTAATTTGAAAATGACAAAAGAAAAAGTGTTCTGAATTTGTGTGAGAAATTTGACTCGAATGAATGTGACAATTCAAAATAATTTTGAAAATATGTTACTTTAATTCTCTTCCTAAGTTGCTGAAAACATGTGTTTTTTTGTTCAAAATAAATTAATCACATTATTAAGATTGAATTTATGAACGAGTCTACAAATAAATTTAACGAAAGATATATATCCAAAACAATTATTTCCGTGTTAACTTTATTACAAATATTAAAATTTCAATTTTTATTATTATGTTTTTAAGAAAAGGTAATTACGAATTAATTAAAACATACTTAACTTATCTCTCGTTATTGATTTCAACTAATCTATTATCAAATCCAGTCAACAGTCAAATATATAGATACTTCTTATAGTTTCTTTTTAAAAAATATTAATTGTATACGAATATATTACTATTAAACAACATTTTGACAGCTATTAAACAATATGGTTATGTATTTAACCGATGGTCAATATAACCTTTTCAGAAAAATAAAATCAAGTATCCGTAATTAAGTTATTAAAGAAATTTAATAGTAATTTAATTGAAATAAGTGGGGCAATTTTATCTGTAATTAATAACAATAATTTTTAAAGTTTGATCTTTCAAAGTTGATATAAAACTAATACAGGTTACATATGACTATATATAATTGTTCAAAGCCAATGTTACGCGTAGAAAATTGTTTATATCTTCACTGATATAATAAACAAAAATATGTTATGTGTAATACTAATAAAAGACCCCAGCACCTCCAGAACTTTTAACTAATTAAATATAAAAAGTCAAATATGTTTTTTAGTCAAATTTAAATTAGTATTTTTTGAAATTTAAACCAATTTAATTATTTAATTAAACTCTGTTAAATTTATTTAATATTTTAAACACATTTAAAACATTATTAACTTTAATAAAATTTTATTAAAAAGACAAAATCAACATATTTCAAGTTAAAAAATTAAATTGAGTTAAAATTTAAAAAAAATTAACCTTAATATAAAATATATAAAATATAATTATATAAAATATTATATTCAATAAAAAAAGAGAATATTTTTGGAAAACGATTTTCTATATGAAAAGATGCAAAGTGTGAGATATATAGTCAAACACGCCTCATGAAACATTTAAAACATTAATACCTTTAATAAAATTTGATTAAAAAAACAAAATCAACATATTCCAAGTTAAGGTATGGTAGTAGTTGGACAATAATAAACTCTTTAGGCAAGATTAGAGGGTTTACCAACTTAACGGTCGTTGAACAAAAATATATTCATTAGACAAAGTTATTGAACAATATCAAAGTCAGAGAACTATTGACTTGGTAGTCGTGTGATGAGAATACTTTCATTGGGTGAGACTAAAGTTAGAGCATTCACTGACTTGATAGTCGTTGGTCGACTCAAGTCTTGCTTAACAACTTTTGTGAGAAATTAATTTTGTAAGTTCTAGTGATACTCTCACTTGTAAGTTTCAGTAATACTCTCGCTAAAAAAACTATCTATTTGCTAGACGAGTGTGCTTTCTGAC